TCGCGAGGCGACACGAAATCACCATTGAAATTGGAAAAGATTTAAAATTAAGAGTTAATAAATAGAAATTGATCAGATTGTTTCAATTTTGAAATAAAATGATAATTTCCATTATTAACAAATAAATAAATAATTAAAAATAAATTTGAATATGTTTGTAACAAAAAATAAAAGAGGAAATGTACGAAATAACAAATGTTTAATTAATAATTGAAATTGAAAATAATTTATTACAGTTCAAGAATTCTAATCAAGCACCTAACAAATTGAAAATGTTAATGAAGATTTAACATTTTCTTAAAAATCTATCGTAAACTCAACACAATCATAACAACAACCAACGTTCATTCAGATCATTCAAAAACAAACAGAAATCGAAACACTTTTGCTCAAACATTCTAACACACACATAAACAATTGCGAGCTCGCTTACATTCAAACCAAAACAACACACACTAACATACAATATTCAGTTTTTGGAAATATGAAAAACTTTCCAAAAACTGAAAGTAAACGAATTTGCTTAAGGGTGGCCAACCCTTCTTTATAGAATTTCCTGAACTGTTATATTATAAATATCAAAATAGAAAAGAAATAATATTAAAATTAGAAAAATATAATTTAAACATTTGCTATTTTTGGGTAATTAAATAAGGATAAATATTTGAATAGAATAATAATTAAGTAATTACCATTCAGTACATACAATGAGTAAAGTATATTAAAGCCATTACAACTTCAATATAAATTATACATATGTATAACCAAAATCAAATTAATAAAATTATTATTATCACGAAAAAGAGAAAAGAAAATCACATTCAAATTAACTAAACTTAAATTGATTAAAATATAATCAAATAATTGAATTTAAAATTAAGATCTTTTCCAAATCAATAATAATTTAATGCAACCTAAACTAAAACATGTAAATAAAACGGAAATACGGACAAGAACAAAGGGGATCAATTAGTTAGTAATTTTGAATAGGCGCATCAATTTAAA